TTTTTTTTTTTTTTTTTTTTTTTTTTTTTTTTTCCTTAATTTTTTATCTTCCCAAACTGGATATGATAGCCAGGAATTATCTTAATATTTTTTTAGGATTAGGATAAATAAGAGATAATTTATTTTCTTTTGTCCTAGCAGTTAAAATAATGACTAGAAAATACAGACTTCTGCTTAGTCAATATTTTTCAACCATAAATTTCAAAAGGATAGAAAGAGATGGTTGGGGAACCTACAGATTAAAAGACTTGAGTGTTGTTCATCCATTGCACTTTGCGAACATTTTGTAACTGGATTCAGACAAACTCTTTAAAAAATACAAATAAGTAAATTTGAATTTTGACTAGGTATTTGATATTGAATGTTCAGGAGTTATGTTGGTATGATTCTTTATCTTTTTTTGAAATCCTTATGTAGGAGGTACATTTTGAAATATTTATAGATGATGTGATCTAGAACTTGTTTTAAAGTAATATGGGAACTAGTACGTGTATAGGAGGTATAGATGAAATAAGACCTGCCATGCATTGATAATTATCGAAGCAGGGTGGTGGTTACGTAGGGGTTCACCGTAGTGTTCTGTTTCTATGTATGTTTTAAGTTCTCCATAATAAAACATTTAAAAATTTTAAAAACTCACCATCAATAAATTGCCAGTAAAATTTAACATGGATAGAACTTGCTGGAATTCTCTGTTTTATTTATCTAGCCACCTCTACAATCACTAGTCTTCTGGCTCAGCAGCTGAGGGTCTAGTCTACTGTTGAGCTCTCGGTTTCTGAGAAAGTGTGAGATAAGCCACTGCTGGCCCATTAGTAGCCACCTGCATACCTATTCCTTTGGTGGTCTAGCTTTGTAGTTAACTGTGGTCATGGACCTGCCAAGTGGAACGTACATTTCAGAGGGGCCTGTCCCATTCTGGTGATTTTGGGTAAAAAGTTGAGGCAATATTTTGCTTGACTCTTTGTTTTTTTGTTTTTTTATTGTTGTTCTTGTTTTGTTTTTTGAGACAGAGTCTTGCTCTGTCGCCCAGGCTGGAGTGCAGTGGCACAATCTTGGCTCACTGCAACCTCCGCCTCACTGGTTCAAGCAATTCTCCTGCCTCAGCTTCCCGAGTAGCTGGAATTACAGGTATGTGCCATCATGCCCGGCTAATTTTTATATTTTTAGCAGAGGCGGGGTTTTGTCACGTTGGCCAGGCTGGTCTTGAACTCCTGGCCTCAAGTGATTCACCTGCCTCAGTCTCCCAAATGCTGGGATTACAGGTGTGAGCCACTGTGCCTAGCCTGCTTGACTCTTTCGCCTAGGTATATTGGCTCTCTGAAATTCTCTATCTGGTTTTGAGTATTCTTCATATATCAGGAAGCTTAGTGTTGATTTTTTTCACCAAATGTCATGAAATAGGGGACTTAAAAATATTTATGAAATTATTTTCTCACAAATGAAAAGAGTTTAAGATATTTCAGTAATAGCCCTGTTTATTCATATTTTTATTCATGAATGAATCATTATCTTCTGAAATCATGTCATTTTTACATGATGTGGATTAGTTTTCATCTGGGTCTTCTGTTTATCAGCCCTGATGACATAAAGAGAAAGGTGGTAGGTAGCCTGTCAGTCTCTGGGTTCCGTTATAAAAGACAGTGGTTGCTTAAAGAATCCTGCATTTCTCAGATTTAACTTACTAGGAAGAGAAACCATTCTTTAGATTCCGTGTACTTGCTGAATTAATGTTTGTTGATGAATATTGTTTTTAAAGAATTAAGGGGGATTAGCTAACAAATTATATTCTAATAAAATAGGTTTTACCTAGTTAAAATATGGAAAAAGACTTACCATATTTTGTTCTGTGCTGATTTGGTAGGGGAGATTATGTGTGGTCACCTTAAATCATAAGAGTCAAGGTGATAGCCACATAGAATTCTAATGTGTCTTTCATCCCCAGTTAAGACATATGGGTGAAATGTTAGTGAACCTCCCCTACCCATCTGTTTTTCTGTTAGTTGTAGATTTGGGTGAAGCTTAAATTTTTGGTGAGTTTGGTCACATTAAACATGGTGAGTGGCAGTCTTGGATATTTTGGCATCTGGGACACCATTTCTGTTTCTTACAAAATGTGGGTTTGTACTTGGGAGGCTGAGGTGGAAGTATGGCTCAAGCTCAGGAAGTTGAGGCTGCAGGGAGCCGTGACTGTGCCACTGCACTCCAGCCTGGGTAACAGAGCGAGATCCTGTCTCAAATAAATAAAATAAAATGTAGGTTTAACATTGTTTCTAACGTTCCTTTTTTTCCCCCCCTTAACCTTTTAGCTGGCAACCCTCTGGTCCAGCAAGGTGGACAGCCGCTCATCCTGACCCAGAATCCAGCCCCAAGTCTGGGCACAATGGTTACTCAACCAGTATTGAGGCCTGTTCAGGTCATGCAGAATGCCAATCATGTGACTAGTTCCCCTGTGGCCTCACAACCAATATTTATCACTACGCAGGTGAGTAGGACTCTGAATTTCAAAGTTGCTGGAGGAGAGAAAAAATATGAACCTCTGAAAGCTCTGACTTAGGGTCTTTAGCACCATTAGAAGTAGTTCTAAGTCTTGTCTTTTAACCTTACTTTCTCATTTACTGTTCTGTAATTTGATGCTGACTGTGGAATGCCCAGTATAGCATGGTTGGGTGGTAATATCCTCTTTAAACCCCTTAGAAGTTTATTAAGTAATTTGATTAAAGTCTAGGCAGAAATTACTGGGCAAGCTTAGATTAGGAAGCCTTAACACTTGGGTCTCAAGACTTTTCACCCTTTGCATGGACTGCTCGGCTTCACATGGGATGAGTTAGTTAACCTTTGGAGATGTATATATGTAATTGGTGGAGTTCATGGAGACCTTTGGAAGACAGGGAAGATGACTTATTTGATATATAATGTATTGAATTGAAGTTGAAAGTCTAATTCTGAATATGGATTCTAAAGGCAAATGCATTTCTTTGCCTGTGGCGTCCTGAGTTATAAATGCTTTTGAATTTGCCAAAGGTTTATGGTCTTTGAAGCAGACTTTGGGAACAATATCTTAGGGTTGTTTGTATGTTGACTCACTCCAATGAACACTATGCTTCTCCCCCCGCACCCTGCCTCCCCCTTCTATTCATTTAGCACTTTAGGGAGCCAGTCTGTTGTTGAGGTTTTTTTAAAGCTGATGCTCTTAAGTCAGGAAACAGGTTTTCATTTTTGCTCATGTGTACCAAAGCTTGTTCTCCAGTTTTGATACTTTGTCACTCAAAAGTTTGCCAAAATTTCCTAAATTTTTCCACCTCAGTCATTTGAAAGCTCTAATTCTAGAGAGAACCATTAAGCATATGGGCATTTTTTTGGATGTAGGTCATACTGCAATCTGTTAGTGTTAGTTGGTCTCCATGTTAAAGATCATTTTGCTTTTTAATACAGGGATTTCCTGTAAGGAATGTCCGGCCTGTACAAAATGCAATGAATCAGGTTGGGATTGTGCTGAACGTACAGCAAGGCCAAACGGTTAGACCAATTACACTAGTCCCAGGTAAGGAAAAATGTCTATCCATTTGGAATAAACCGGCATCCAGAAGATTTGTTTTTATTGTTCTGAATACCTAAGTCATTTTATAAGTATGTTTAAAGAAAATCTAAAAATATAAAAATCTTAATGAATTAAGCCCAATTTTTAAAAATCTGTTTCTAACCTTTGGCCAGGGTGGTGGTTTTATTTATTCCTGTTTAGCTTTTCACCACCCTTCATGAAGTAGTAAAACAGTTTATAGTCATTTTTCTGTGACTGGTATTTAGTCCGCTATTAAGCTTGTTATCCTGGAGGAATATTATTAATGCAAACTCCCAAATTCTATACTCCTTATACATCTACTCATTTGCACAGTGGGATTATAAACTTTGTTGTAACTTTATAGCATAGATTTTAGATATAACCAAATGACATTCCCTTTATGGATAAATACTAGATGGTTTTTTTCCTAAAGATTCTGAGAAGGATAATTTTTTAAATCTTGGAATTTTTCATTTTCATTTTTCATTTCTTTCTTTAGTGTGTATAAGTTTACTACAGTTCAGACCAAAAAAAATCTTAATTTAGCTATTTGTAAGGGTACCTCTGTAGCTTGTCTTCCTAAGGTTTTCTTTTTTGTTCTCATAGCCCACAGGAGTTTTTGGCCCTCAGTCTGACCAGCTTGTCCTGGTATTTCTTTGTTTTTTCTCAGTTAATTGTCTACAGTTGAGCCAGGAGACATTCTCCTTTGGGACATCCTAGTATAATGGCGTAGTCTGTCTTCTGAGTTTATAAAAGAGAATGGAAGACTCCTTTAGCACTGTGAGAAAAACTGATTTCTTTTTTCAGGACCAGGTCTGCCATTTGGCCTATATACACCTATATTGCCTCCCACTCCTTTTTTCCAGTACCGAGGTCAAGCTACTGATTATATTCTTAGAATTAAAAAGGCAGTGTGTTAAGGTGTTTTGGGAGGATTTGATGGGAGTCTTCTTTAACGGAATATTTTTAGGCTACCCAGGCTAATTTCTTTTGTCATCGTGGACATCTGCTGCTTTCTTAGTCTTTAGAATCTATACTACTCTTGGTAACCTCTGATGATCACCCATCAGATTGGGGAAATAATCTTTCCAGTAAAGTCAGGGAGAATGTGTTATAGGTGAGCTCATTGACCAAGATCTGGTACTTTGTATCTCTTTTAAAGCCCCAGGTACCCAGTTTGTTAAGCCGACAGTTGGAGTTCCACAAGTGTTCTCTCAGATGACCCCTGTGAGGCCAGGCTCCACAATGCCTGTGAGGCCCACCACCAACACCTTCACCACCGTCATCCCGGCCACTCTCACCATTCGAAGCACCGTTCCACAGTCCCAGTCCCAGCAGACCAAGTCCACTCCCAGCACTTCTACCACTCCCACTGCCACACAGCCAACCTCACTGGGGCAACTAGCTGTTCAGTCTCCAGGCCAGTCAAACCAGACCACGAATCCCAAGCTAGGTAAGGCTTGGGAAGAGGAGATGGCAGAGCTAAGATGGGATGGTGGGTGGAGAACAGATGATTTTCACTTGGTCACCATAGCTCCCTCCTTCCCCTCTCCACCTGCAGTGAGCATTGCCAGCTTTGTCACTGTGAAGCGACCTGGCGTTACAGGTGAAAATAGCAATGAAGTGGCCAAATTGGTGAATACCCTTAACACCATCCCTTCCTTGGGCCAGAGTCCTGGGCCAGTGGTGGTATCCAACAACAGCTCTGCTCATGGCTCTCAAAGAACCAGTGGACCTGAATCTTCAATGAAAGGTACAATAACCTGAAAGACCCTGAGCAGCCAGTCATTGAAAAACATTAATAAAGTGTTATATCAGAGCTCTATACTCAGAAATAGAGAAATAAAATAGAATATAGCTGCTGTAGTTTGTTCTTATAGAAACTTTAGTAAGGACTAAGCCACTCATAAAAAGTGTAACTGAATCAGCTCCAAGAAATTCTGTGTGTAATTGTGCTTTGGGGATTAGTGAAATTGATTGATCAGAGATGGATAAGATGATAAAAGAGAACTTAATGCAAGAGATGGATTTCTGAACAAGGTTTTAAAGTTGGGATTTGGTAGCGAGATCTTCAGGTTGAAAACGATACAAGCATGAGGGTTTTCAGTGGTCTAGAGCAGGGGTCGGCAAATGTTTTCCGTAAAGGGCCCAGTAGTAAATTTGCAGACTTTCTGCACAGTGTAGCCTCTGTTGCAGCTATTCAGCTGTGCTGTTGTGGTGTAGAAGCAGCCACAGATATGTAAATGAATGAGTGTGGCTGTGTTCCACTAAAAACATTTATGGACTCTGAAATTTAAGTTTCATAAAATTTTCAGGTGTCAGGAAATATTATTCTTTTAATTTCAACCACTTAAAAATAAAAACTGCAAGATGAGGTGACTCACACCTATAATCCCAGCATTATGGGAGGCCAAGGTGGGAGGATCACTTGAGCCTAGGAGTTTGAGACCAGCCTGGGCAACATGGTGAGATCTCGTCTCTACAAAAAAAAAAAAAAAAAAAAAATTAGAGCAGGTATGATGGTGCATGTGTGCAGTCCTTAGCTACTCAGGAATCTGAAGTGAGAGGATGGCTTGAACCCTGAAGGTTGAGCCTGCAATGAGCCATGATCATGTCACTGCAACAGAAAGAGACCCTGTCTCAAAAAAAATAGAAACCTTTAAAAAATGGTGTTGGGAAAACTAGATATCCATGTCCAAAAAAATGAAGTTAGAGCTCACCTTACAATAAATACAAAAATTTACTCAAAATGGATCAAAGACCTAAATGAACTAAAACTATAAAACTCTTGGAAAAATCATAGGACAAAACGCTTCATGATACTCGATTTGACGATGATTACTATTTCTTGTATATGACACCAAAAGCATAGGCAAGAAGAGGGAAAAAATGGGTAAATTGAATGACATCAAAATTTAAAACTTTTATGCATCAAAGGACACTATCAACACGGTGAAAAGGGAAGCCACAGAACAGGAGAAAATACTTGCAAATTATATATCTAATAAGGGGTTAAAATCCAGAGTATAGCCGGGCGCGGTGGCTCACGCCTGTAATCCCAGCACTTTGGGAGGCC